ATGTGACTAGACCTATACTTTGTGTTTGCTTGAATCTGCTGATTTGCACATGAATATTGGACTCTTAAAAAATCTCTTACCACTGGTTTGCATGCACCTATTTTCTTTCATGTGTGCAAAAACTGTCATTCAGAAATAAAAGGGCACAAAAAATGCAATAGCCAAGTATTCAAAGTGACCATTTAAAATCTGGTCTTGTATACAGAAAACAAGCCTTTCTGCCCAGTAAACTGACAGAAATCACTTCTAGTTAAATCATAAATACATGTTACAGTGAGACAGTGTTGGACAGTGCTCCGTCATCAATCAGTCTGTGTTCTTGAGGACACTATTTTACAAGATGCCTCCTTTAAGAATAAAGCCCTGTGTTGTAATGAATGTGTGCTAACTGATCCTCCAAGCCATTTGTATTTTTTTTATTTGTATCAGTGTCAGAGTTGAGCTTCTGTAAGAAATTTTTTGCAGTATTTTATTTGTAGTCTTCATTATTTCAAGTTAAGAACACAAAACTCTTTATGCACCCAGAGTCTGCACTGGTTCGTTTATATCCCGTATTTTGTTAACATGTTACTGTGATTGCTAATTTTCATGACAATTGTTATTGTGCCATCGGTGCTTAATGGCAAGGCATCATTATTCAGTGCTGGTCAATCAGGCACTAAGATATGTGCAAGACATCAGGCTGAACCCATATAGATGTCGTGCACTCCCCTGCTAATGAATGCAGTTTTGTAAAAAGGTTTAAACACGGTTGGCATCCTTAATGTAAGGTTTGCAAAAGCTTATTTGGGAACCGCTTTGTGTTTATACGGAGCAGATCTAAACATGGCACAAACAGAGTTAGACTCATTGTGTGTATGTGTGTGTGAAGCTATGGAGAAGGGGTGAATCATTTTGGGTTTTGAAATGTGGAAAGACAGCACAATTTCTGCCATGGCAGGAGTGAGGGGAACAGATTTGCCAGGAACATCAGTGTTCAGTAATGGATGTGGGACCTGTTCTGCAAAGCAGAGGTTGCCGTGTGTGTCAAGGAGGTGATTCTCAAAAGTGGACGGTGTCATAAAGTTGGCACTGGCTGGAGGGACCCTCCAGCACAACAGTGGTTGGAGGTCAGGCATCTAGAAAGGTGGAGCAGAAGGAAACTCAAGAGGAGTGGGATGTGCTTTTTGCATTTTGAGTCCTGAGTGCTCTTCCAGTCAGTTAACATTACCCTTGCATCTGCTTTAGTTACGGTTTCTATGTGGTTTTGCACCCAAATATTTCGGGCTGCTGTCCATAATAAACTAGATGGAACTTGGTTTAAAAGCACAGATTTTTCGTCTCTTCTAACTCAAAGTAGAATGAGCCCTTGTGCTCCTAGAGCCTCGAGTATGAAAGGAACAGTAGACATTGGCTGTTAACGAGATCCTGCGCACAGGGCTCCAGCAGAACTTGTTGTGAATTCAGTGCCTTAGCTGCATCGACTAAATGGTTAATTCATCTCATATCAACAGCACTATGATTCATAATGTAAACTTGAGGAATCCTTGATGTTTCAGTCACACATTCCTCTTAATTTGGCCATGCATTCTTTTAAAGCTACAGTGTGCTAACTTAATAAAATGCAGCATGCAAATGCACAAGTTTTTGCCTTCAGGCATTTTAGCCATGGATGTTTCAATGGGTGTCTTCTTTCAAGTATATATTCTTTTTTAAATTATTTACCCTGTAAACATGCTTTGCATTTTTAAAGAAAAATCTGGGCTTCCTCATTCACCAGATTTTGTTGAATTTAAGGTGTAATAGAGATAAAAGCCTATCATCTGCTTCTTGCAAGCATGTTAGCCTTTGGGATTTTTTTGCAGTGAATGTTAGGCCCCATTTTCTTCTCCTTTGGTATTATCTCTCCCTCCCCCACTCAACTTCCTTGATGCTTTGCCTAGAGCAATACCCACTGGCAGTGTCTGGCTGTGACAGTACTATAGGCTTCCCTACAGATGGGTCCTGCCAATGCCAACCATTGTTCTACAACTGTGAGCTGGCTTGACTGTCTTGGATCACTTAAAACCTCCTTTCCTCTTCATTTGTTCTTTACTCTGAAGAGTCACCCTTGCCTGTTGACTTTGAGATCTGAAATGTGCTGACACCTAGAACTTGTGTTCTCTGTCTGAGCAGCAGCTCCCAGACTTGGACTTAACAGGCACTATTAAGTCCACCTTGGGACCATTTTGCTGCTGCCAAACAGCTCTGTTATTCTTCTCCAAGCCCCATCCTTTGGGCAGTATGCAGTTAGTTTAATTTTACTTTCTCACTTGAAAGAAAAACAGTAAAACTCAATGTTATTCTTTTTTTTTAAAGACATAAAATTAATCTTTAACTGTGGGCTTGAATATTAAAAGTATATAATGCTGCAATGTAGATTCTGTTGATAACATCCATCCTATTTCATGATTAATTTGTTCCTTTTAATATGATATTCTTTGCTGCACTGTGCAGACTAATTCAGATTCCTAGAAATTGAACTTTGATATGTATTTCCTAGATTCACACCATAAGTGAACCTTCAATTTGCAGATACAGGTGGTGGCATGCCTCAGTGTTTTCTTGACAGGGATTTTAGAGACATGGACACTGACTAAATAATCTTACAATCAGGTGTGTACTGCCAGGGTATTAAAATAAAGCATCTGGGGGATTTGATGTTTTTTTTTAATTTTTCTTTGGTTTTGCTTCTCAGCCAAAACAATGATTTTTTCAGTGGGCCAGAGATAGGAGGAGCTGATTTAAACACTCAGTATGTTATGTATGCCTTTGCCTAACTATGTGTTAGATTAAGCGAGTTTCACTCACAGTTAATCCTTTGTAAATTAGCATTATGGATGCCTTGGGGCCCACATCCCACAAATAAAATGGTTGTCATGCCAGCTGCACTGTGTATTACTTAAGGCTGAATGTTTTAAGAGTTTTCATGCTTTTAATCTATTTCACTGCTGAGTTTCAATTTTGCTGAGTGTCTTTTCAGGAGTGATGAGGGCTAGTGAGTAAATATATATTCTGTTTTTCATGCATTTGCCTGGGCAAATCGTTTGTTATCAGGTGTTTTGCAGAGAATGTCACACCCCGCTACAAAAGAGAAGCTTGTAAGTTCAGGTGTTAAATTGAAGTGCAAACCAACAAGAACCAAAAGCCCTTAATTAGCTTTATTTTGTTAGCCTGCTACACTTTTTTTTTAGGGGGAAAAAAGGAGTGAGAAACATCCCTCCCTCCTCCTCATCCTTTTGGCAGAGTAAATATTGCCTGTTAAGTTTGAATTAGCTGTCATCGCGAAAGAATTAATGCTGTGGTTGAGCCTTTCTAGTGAGGAAGGGAAAAATAAACGAGACAGATCTTAGTTCAGCTTTAAGTGATAAATGAGGACAAAGCAGCCCATTCATCTCCTGCTAGGAAAGTGGACACAAACACTAAAGCAGTTTTGCGGAAGACGTGTCAGCAAATGTGATCATTTTGTAACCTGTCAGGAGGATAGAGAGCTAGTCCTTTTAGAGTGTCACAGGGGAGGGTGTCTGTCTGATGTGACAGTTTTCATCCATCCATTTACTGCTTTTTCTTTAGGTGGGGGGTAAGCAAGGAGAGAGCTGGAGTTGGTTAAAACTGCATTTTTCTTTACACTTTCCAATATAATTTATATGTATATCCACCCACATCCAAATGAAAAACGTTTACCAAGAAAAACTCCCCTCTGCTCTCTGGAGTTTCTTCTTTCTTTCAGTGGTGAAATATGCTCATTTTAACACATTACACTCCCTGTCTTCAGGTTGTACTCGATTTGATGTTTCACAAAACACAGTTTTACCTCTTCTTACCATTGTTTGGTTGGTAAGGCTTTGTTTTCGTTTGGTTTGGTTTGGTTTACAGAAGCACGAGAAAAAAAATAAAAATAAATATAACTTGGAGTGCTTTTGTTGCATTTGGTTGTTGGAGTTTTTTTTGCTATACCTCTCCAATTCTGATGGTAAGCTTCATGTACAAATATGTTTTGCAAAAGTTCCTGTTTTGTGGAGAGCCTGTAAAAATATTCTTCCTTCTCTGTGAGAATGGAATAACAAATGCTGAATTCTTACAATCCAAAATCCTCCATAAAATGCCTCGAATTCTACTGTTTCTTCATTTAGTAATTTTATTTAACCTTTTAATTTCAGGAAAAACCTACAGTGATGTGGTGTCTGATTTTAGAAGCAGGGATTTCTTCCAACAAATGATTGAAAAATATTAGGACTTTATATTTCTGGTATCTTTTTTATTTTCACTGATTTCCATTTTTTTATACTACATAGAAAATGTAACATTTGCCTATTACCATAAGTAAAGGTATGCTACAGAGACAGGAGATGCTTTTACAACATAAGCTTCACAGTTTGACACTTGCTTCTTTATATCATCCTTTTCTTCAAAACTATCTTTTGTACTTTTCCCTTGGTATTTTAGTACAAGTAAGTATCTCATTGACATGTGTTTCCTTGAAATCTTGTTCCTTAATAGTAAAATCCCTTGAAAATTAATGAATTGTTTCTGTTCAGATTAAAAAAGCCGTGAAGATTTCAGAATGGTTTTAAAAAATATAATGATATTTACTATTACAGACCACCCTGCTTGGGTTGCATTGACTGAGGACTAATTATTTCATTTGTTCTTAGAAGGTTAATAAATTTGAACATAAAGTATTTCATTTATTCTAATATGTGTATAAGTGTATACATAATTAGGAAAAGTCTACTTCTTTCCTGAATGAAAAAGTTGGATTTAAAAGCTACATAAAGAAGTGTTTGGAAGCAGTGGAAATTGGGAGAAGTAAAAAATAATCAAGATACACAAAATAGTAGAGAAAATCCTGAATTTGTGGGCATATGTCTTTTCTCCAATATGTTTGTGTTCCTTGTTTTATGATTTTACCTATATATTCTGCTATTTTGTTTTATTTTGTTTTATTCACTGTGGTTTTTGTCTCTTCTGCTTTTTTCCAGGATCATCCAAAACCGGATTTTGATTGTTGTCCTGGCAGTCATCGTCATCTTCACCACCATGATGGCTATTTTTTTTTCTGTCAGGGGACGCTGATATCTTTGTTCTTCACTAAACAGCAACAAACTGCTTGTTCTCAGTAATTAAGACAAAGTGGTCACATGAATCATTCTCTTGCACTGACAGAGTCTCCCTCTCTTTTCCACTCTTCAACTCAGGTGCAAGTGGTGTAAAATATTTTGTATTATTGATGGCATAGTTGATGGCATGTGGGGCTATTATTTTCTTACATTTTTTGTCTTTATCTGAGTGTTTTCAGGATATTAATATTTGTTGGAGTGAGGGCTTGTTCTGGTATAAAAAGACTTAATGTGTGTTGAATTCAAGCCCAGACAATTAGTCTGTAAGTTGCCAGAGTTTAGCAAGGGAAGAGGGGTCTCTGCACTTTTCTTGTGCTATGAGGGGTGTGTGATTATCAAGCAGTATCTAACTCTCCGTTATATAGAATATAAGTAAAGCAAAGACCAAATGGTGTAGAAAGTGAACCTGTCTCCTGTGACTGACTCCTGATCATGCATTATCGTAATAGATGTAACTTGGTTAAGAACAGTAGCCAGTTTTAGAAAGAGAGCAACCTTAGGATGATGTTTAAAATATGATGTGAATGCAATACTCAATTTAACAATTTTTTTGTTTAAAATTAGGCTTTGTTTTCTGCTTATTCAAAGCAATTCCACTTTCATCAAGATTATGAAAATGCATCACTTACCTAAAATGTAGTTGTGACCACAGCCCATCTATTGAATCTCTTTTAAATCTTCCGTTGTTGATATATGTACTGATAAGCATACACACTAGGCCCTAAATGAAGACATATAAAGATTCTTATCTATTTGTTGCTGATTGAAAAGAAATCCTAAGTAATAGTTCAGTGACAAATGTGTGATTATAGTGCATTAAACAAAAATCTAGATTTTTAATATTGGCCTGACTATGTCAAGACTGCATGTTGGAAATATTTGAAGTGTATTAAATTCTGATGTGATATTTGCCTTTTTAAACAGAAACTGTAAAAATGTTAATTTATACATGCTTTTAGTTAATATAATATATCACAGTTTCATCTACCTGTGTGTAAATGAGCTGTTTCTCTTTTCCTATTGGCTGTGCTTATCCTATAGACAGGTTAAGGTCATTTGGCTTATAATTAAGCTAACAATTCCAACAAAGGTCTATTTCTGGTGATATGATAAAGTAATTTTCATGATAACTTTTAAATTCATTATTTGCAATCCCTTACAAATATTACAAATTAAGTGGAATTTTAAGCCCTTGAACTCCAGCCATGAATTCTTTCCAGAAAGATATTCAAAGAAACAAAAAGCTGCTGAGTTTTAAATTCCCCCCCACATTAGGTAGCACCAAATTCTCATGTGTGCCTTAGTACTTTTGGGGTTTTGGCATCCCTGTCGTCTCTGCCGACTTGCTGTGCTCCTTAGGAGCTGGTTTTGAGATAAACATCTGGGAGTTGATTTTAGCCCTAAATATGTCTCCTGTTTTCTCTACATGGAAAAAACAAATAGTTAAAAGGTTGTGGTGCTGATGCCACATATAAGACATAGAAAGATGGTGATAAATGTAGAATGAAAGGATGCACAGGAAAAATGTTATTCATTGAAACGAATGTAAGCATGTATGGTCAGCTCTGGTGTCTGTGTATTACATGCAGCTCACAACAAAGTTTAGAAGTGGTTTATGTGCCAGGTTTCCCTACCAGCTCGTGTCAGTGGCTGTAGGATTGTGCTGGTGCAAAAGTTCCCGGGTAATGCAGACCCACAGTTTCAGGAGGTGGTGTTCTGTGCAGCACAGCTCAGTCATGTTCGGCTCCTCACCTTGATGGCCCTGCACTGTCACAGGGTCCTGGGACCCTCCTGGCCGCCTCCTGTGGTATCCTCCCCTTTCATCCTTGTGAAGTGTGTGGCATATACCATGTGGCTTTCAGACACGGAAAGATTTGGGTGTTCAGCTACCAGCCTTCAGTCACAATGTGCACTCAGACTAAGTGCTTTGGGTTGTGTAAGCAGAGCTCTCGCCGTTAGCTTCAAGTGATGGCACTGAGCTGACTTCAGACAAATTAGGATGAAGCCTGGCAGCATTAGGAGATATTTATCCTCTCCTCGGCAAATTAGGAGATGCATATTCTGTAAAGCAGAAAACTGTCAAGAAGGAAATCTTAAACTCCGTCTGTTGCCTAGACATTCTCCACGTTGCCTCTATAATTTAACTATCATGGGAATTGATTCATGACTACTGATCTTAACAGTGACCTATGACTAGGTTTTGCCCTCTATCTAGCCACCTGCTGGAATCAGCAAAAAGCTGAAAGGAAGCTAGTTTTCCTTATCCCAGTATAAATCTAGGGCATAGTGTCACATCAGATACATCCACTCAGATAGAAATGAGGGAGAGAGAGAGACTGCCACGCAAAGCCTTCATCTTCACTTTTGATGAGCCCACCATCGCTATGTTTCTCTTGCTAACCTGTTAATAACTCCTCTGTGCCTGCTTTGCATCCTCGACTACTCCCCACATGTAAAATAGTGCTCGAGTGGACATTGCACCCTTCAAAACACAATATTACTCTTCACTCTCCCCTTTTCATCCAGCTCAGGAAGTGTAGGGGTGAGATGTACCAAATCCACACATTTTGGTGGGGACTGAGTGACTTCAACCGAGAACACAGCCTGAACCACCCACAGGTAGGGTGACACCCCCAGGTCCACGGTTCCCCTGAACTAGTTTGGTTGCATCTATAGCATATCTCTGAATGAATCCAAGTGCTTACAAATGTAAACCTCAAAGAGCAAAATGTTTCTAATGTTGCCAGCCTTTGTGGAGAAATGACAAATTAAAAAACACATGCACGGTGCTGTGTGCGAAATTCATCCTTGCTAAACAGCTGGGCTCACAGAATAAATAAACTAATTCTGCACTGATACAAAATCAAAAGCAATTTAATTAAAGACTCTTAAGTTTTAAAGGGTTTTAAATGCTATACGTTTTGGGGAAATATCAGAAAATGTAGCTTGACTGACGTCAGTTCTCATCTCTGGGATGGGAGGCCATTTGCTATTCTGTTTAAGGCAGGCTGGATTGTCTTATTTTGGAGCCAGCTTGGTGGGGGGTTTTCTTTGCTGCTGCTTCAGAGCTCTGAGCTTCAAAGGCTGAAATTAATGGTGAACAAAATTGTGCGGCTCTGACCATCCCATGCGGGGCAAACCCATCGAGGGTTATCATTAAGTAAAGAAATAAAGAAAAAAAACCCTGCCAGTTCCAAGAAAACCTCATCAGATAATGACCTCTGTGATTGGGTTTTCATTACCAAACAGCATCCAGAGATTGTCTGCCCCATAGAAGAAAAAAAAAAAAGAAAAGAAAAAGCAACTGTGTCTCTCTCTCTTTCTCTCTTTCGCTCTCTCTCTCCTTTTTTTTTTGCACATCTTTTCTTTAAACCTGTCAGATCATTTCAGTATTTCAAATCCGAGGAAAACAGCCTGCCTGCTGCTGTATTTGAAGTTGTAATGGTGTCAAAAAGTCACGACTGACTGACAGCCGTCAGTCCCAGAGGAGCTCATTAAATCATAAAAACTTGACAAGGAAATAATTGAGCATCACTGGCAACTTGGCGCCTGTTTAGACGTTTTTATTTTCTTTCATTATTAGTCCCCACCATTACGTTCATTAACAAATTGCATTAAACAACTGTTAAGGGCTAATGATTTGTTTATCGCTTTTTTTTATTATTATTATTATTATTTAAACATTAGCTGCGTCATGTGGTACCTCAGCAGCCTCATACTATCATCTGACTGAATATTTTTCCACTCAGAGCTCTGGGTACTGCTGGAATATGAAATAGATTATTCATTACCCTCCTCTTTGCCACTGATTTGGTTTCATGTAGCGTCTTCCACAGAGAAAGATGAAAACTTGTCAAAAATAGGTTATATCTTATTCTAAGGGCAACAATAGCAGCAGGTACAGGCACACTTTAATATTTAATTAAGGCTGATGTTAACCCCTTTAAATGACTTTAGCTGTGAGTAATATTCAAGTGCAGAAGAGAAAAATAATGGTACTTAATTTGCAAACTGTACAGCAGGCATTCATCTTCGAGTTACTAGCAAATTTATAGAATAATTTTAAATAATGAAATTTCCAATCATAAATATTTATGTCCACTTTTTTTTTTTTTACACAGTCATAAATGGACCACTTTTGCATGCATCCTAAATAAAAAAATCCATGTCCTTTTCTTTTTTTTGTTTTGAACTGCACCACTCACATTTCAAAATCTGGTCGGACTTTGTAGGGGGGGAAAGAGCTACATGTGGATCCCCAGTAAAGTTGTTAGCTGCGGTAATGACTTGCATGGTTCTGTTTCTAGCAACTTGACAGCTTATGATAAACTTCAGGAGGATGTGGGCTCAGGCTTCCTTTTTTTTTCCTTTTGGAGGGGACAGCATTTGTTTTGGCATTTTTTTTTGTTTTTGTACAAAACCATGAGAAGGTTTTGGTTTGAAACAGATAAAAATAGCTGCTACTTTTTATAGAAGAAGTATTTATCTCTAAGTATATTTTCTCTGTGTAGTTTCAGTTGTAAATAATCCTCTTACAGAAGGAGAAGCTTCAGGAGAATTTTAAGATGGTAAAAAAGGAAACAGTCAAAGGCAGGGTACATGTTAGTCTTCCTTTGCTTTATAATAGTCAGTCTTTGATCTTTTCTTACTCAATACATCTGAATGCAGTTCGCATTCAGCATTTACGGTGGGTCCCTATGTAGGGCTGATGGCAGAGACGGCGAGCGAGGTGCGATGACGTATAGTGGGATGCTGCAGAGCAAACCCTAGTAGGCAAAGCTCCCTCGCGCTTCCTTGGGATAATTTGTCACTTCTGGAGTCACGTGGGGGAAGAGGCATGTAGCAGGTGAATATTTTATCAACTACTGCCTGGCAATGGATGTTATCATACGCCCTGAGCAGCCTTTGGCTACAGTGGCCAGAGCAGCACACTGGCTCCTTGACGTACCCACAGCCTGACGTGGGTGCACTGTCCCGGCTCTGTGCATGTCGGGAAACAGAGGTGCATGGTGAAAAGCATTTTAGCATCCTCAACAGCCGTGCTTTATTTGTCACACATAAATAATGAAGGCATCTACAGGAGAGGGAAGGGAAAAAAAGAGCTTATATACTGAGAACCAGTGAACTTGTGCACTCTTTATCCCTTCATCCGAACAACTGCCTTTGGCATGAATAACGGCTCAGCTGATACCAAGCTCCATATTGATCTGTTGCTCAGGAAGGTCTGCTGGTAGTTCCTTGGACTTTTCCTGAAGGTATGGGCCATAACAGGTCGGTACTGTTGGGACCTATGCTTCTATCTCCATCTCATGCCAGACAAGTTCAACAGGGACGGACCCAGAAAGGGGGAGCTCCCAGCCCTCGGTCTGTGCAGCTCTCTGTTTCCCACAAACACATAGATGTGATTACCTCTTCATGTCAGAAAACCTACTTGAGGGACTGTTGTGCCCAAGTATAAGTAAAATGGTGTCTGCAGTTGGAGAGGCATCCTGGAGTGGATCTGGGAACAGTCTGCTTTTCCCCAGGCAGCAAAAATTTTTTTAAAAACTCTACATAACCTACAAATACTTCTTATTCTGTGGGGTAGGCTAAGAGTGAGGAGCTGTATTATCCACAGGTGGTACCTCCGCACCATCCAGGCACTGCAGTGTTTTGGTGAACTGCTGCAGATTTATCTTGCAATTCTGGGAGTGCAGCCTAGGTGCTCCCTCACTGCTTTTAGCCTTGGCCTTATCACAAGAAGAGATACTGGGTTGTGGTGGTGGTATAACTGAGGAAGGATGTAAAGTCTGCAAGCCAAGGTTTCCTGTGGGGCCAGTGCCTGTTCATTAATGGGACATTCAGGAGCATGCAAAGTGAAAGGGTTAGGTGGATGTCTGTCCTGCCAGAGAGCACTGTTGGAAAGTGAAAGTTTTACACATTTTAAAGGGTCCTAAGCAGTTCAGAACCATTAAACTCTACAGGAAAGCAGCCTGTCCCTGCTGTCCTGTGGCCAGAGAGGTCAATAATGCTGCCAAGCCTGCATTGCCAGCGTTATGGTGCGTGCTTCCTACTGGCTGCCATGTTGTGACTGCTCTCCTGGACCAAACCCAAAGAAAACCTTCTATTGCTGCTTCTTTGTTCAGTTGCATTCTCCGTTCAGACCCATGACCTTGTCCAGTCAGCACTGTCGCCAGTGAACATAATCTGCTTCTGTGGATTTAATGAACTTTCCAGTTCTCTTCTGCACCCAGCTAAGTAACATTGCCTCTTGCCTGAGTTGCATGCCTTGCCTGCATGCATTTGTCTGTATGTTCTCCTTTTATTGACATTGCTTGAAGGAGTTGTAGCCAGGCATGCCTACCAAAGCAGCAAAAAAATACCCTATGAGTTTACCACAGCACTAGAAAATTGCTTGTAAGTAAAAATAGTATTTAGCCTTCTCTTCTTAGTAGAAACATGCTTATGCCTTTGCTCTGTCTCATTTGATGAATTTGTCTTCCCATCCCCTGCTAACTTTGAGACTTTGACCAAATTCAGGCATATGTAATAGAAGAGCAGAGCTCTCAAAAATTCCTATTGGTTTCAGGAAAAAAAGCAGCCAAGGGGAGAGACGTCCCACTGGCATCCCCACCAAGAGAAAGGCTGCAGTGTGACATCCACCCAAATTGGACACTACCTGGGAGGGAGAAATTATAAATGCCTCTCTCCCCAGGAAAAGCTCACATCCCATTTAGATACTAGAGAATCCAACCCCGAGGAAACAAGGCCTCATTAGTGTCATTGCTGGAGGAACTACTTAATTAAAGGACAACAGAGTTGAGAGCATTGTTATGTAGGCCTTTGTTCCTTATACCTGGTCATTTCCATTGATGTAAAATGTCATCTTTCTGATCTGGTAGCATTTTGCACCCACTTTAGACAAGTATTCCTGACCAGCCGAGGAGGTGCAGAGCAGGGAAGAATCAGACCTTATTACTGAGGTAATTATAGCCTCACCTAACCATCAGGCGAAGGGTGTACACCTCTATTAGCCAGTGCTCCTACAAAGAGAACAAAGGCTGGCTGCAAAGTGGGAGCCACCCAAGGAGCATCCCTGTGTCCAGCTGCACCACTCTGGGGCAGCAGACACGCTGGGGAGGTCATGACCACAGGCTCCCGCATCACCCAGTCTCCTGCTTGCCTTCCTGACTTTAAATCCAGCTTGGCTTAGCAACACTGGTGAAGGCCGTGAGGTGGGGAGACTAAAACAGGGAACAGTACCATCACGGAGGAAATCAGCTCAGTTATAATGCTAAAGGAGGTAGGGGGTGGCTTTCAAAGCTTGTCTCAGCAACTAGCCTAATTCTATTTTCAAAAGCCACTGTTGAGTGCTTTTGAAAATTTCATCCTAGATGCTTGGCTCAAAGACCTTAACCAAAGATTTATTTTTTTTCTCTGCTATATGAAAGCTAAATATAAACCGACTTTATTGAACAAAAACCTAACAAAACCCCTGTTGCAGGTCTAGAAAAATCTTTACTGAGAAAATCAAATTATTGGAGACCAGCATCTGAAGCCTCCTTCAGGTTCGGATGCCTCTTGTTTTGTATACGCGGTTTGGCATACAAAAAAAAAATATTTCTAACAGCAAATATTTGCTTTCTGTTCTTTTTGTCTTCTCCTTATTTGCCTTTTGTTCTCCTGCCCTCAGAAAATCAAGACCCGAGTGTCTCCGGATGAGCAGTTAAAGTTGCTTTAGAACACATGGATTAGTCTATTTTACCCACACAAGTAGGTGCATATGTGTGTCTACTGTTTGAACAGCGTCTTAATGACTTTTCCACTGATGGGCTGTGGACCACAGGCAAGTAATAAAGTTAGTCTGTGCCTCAGTTTACCCACCACAACTTCATTAATGCTAACCTACCTCACGAGGTGTTGTAATGTTTAATATATTGTGTGCTCTGTAATCCTTGGATTAAATGTATTATGTAAGTGAAAAGCACCCATTTGATGTGTATGTAAATGCTGCAGTATTATAGGTAGGAGGGTCATTTGGGTGTAAGTGTAATACAAGCGCTGGCAAAAGGCAAAAGGGATTCCATTGTATTGACTTATTTTTAAAGAGCTTTTTATTTACTCAAATGCTCTGGACACCCAGAAGGAGAGACATTCCTCACTAAGCAGCTCTGCTGTTTCATCTGTCTTGGAGTGCTTTGATAAATGGATTGAAACTTGTCAGCTTTTTCTGTAGTTTCTGAGACTCCCTCTGGAAACTGTGTTGAAATGTTATTATTGTAACTTCTTAGAGCACTACTTAATGAATTGTAACAGATATCCCTGCGAGTTCTGCAGATGCTGTGAGGACTGCACTTCCTTCCCTTTCCACAGCAGAAGCAAACCAGTGCCACCACAAACACCAGGCACAGAGTGCACGTTCCCAGCCACCAAAACAGCTGGTATCTTGCAGGGACAACACTTCTTACCTTCTTAAGGCTTCATCCCCAGACTTGTGTCCGTCTGCGTGATCAGTCAAGCTCCAGGGACATTGAACATAGCCAGATGTTGTCCTTTGAATTGAAGAATAATTTAATCTTTTAAGAAGAAACCTTAAGAAGGATGACAATTATTGTGGGTCTAGGTCTGTGTTGGTTGATTTCCTCTGTCTCTAGGATGAGGTGTTGTAGTAGTGCCTGAACTATCCTGCAGCTTGGACTGGTGACTTAGACAGTCTGAATTTGCACTACCCACAGGTCCTAGCTGCCCTCAGAGCAGCTCTTTCTCAGACAGACAACAGTTACATGACATTACCACATGGACAGATGAGATGAATGGAGGGAGCAATAAGTGTGGCACCTTCTCTGAAGCACAGGACTGACCCTTCAGGGCCATTAGATCTGCTCGAGGAAATCTGCAGAAAGGGTGGTCAGAGGTACCTGACAGGGACACATGTGTTGCATGGAGCTAGAGAGCAGAAAGAAGTCAACTATGATGAGGTCATCTTGAACCCCAGTAATGTCCTATCCTGTTGCATCCTGCAGTGGAGCAGTGGGATGCCTTGGTGACTTCTGATTTCCTGCCTCCAACTTATTCAAAGGAATCTTGCTCCTCCTCTGCTCTCTCCAGAGCAGGGGTGGTGTGACCACTGATATACTTGGTTTGGCAGCTTGGTTGTGCTGGGTAGGCTCAAAGATCCTTGTCCTGATGCAATGGTCACTTGAGAGTTTAAAAGTTTTTTCGTTTTTTTCTATTTTTTTTTTTAAGTCTTCTCGCTGGGTTTTAGTTGTTTTTATAAGAATACAGAATTGAGCTATTGATATTCACGTTGTCACGAAGTACGAAATGGCCAACTGCACAACCCCCACAGCATCACCAGTTGTGCCCCATGCCCCATGTGGTTCAGCTGGCAGGTGCCATAGACAGTGCTGCCCATCTCCAGCCTGAAAAATAAAAGTGTGCCTTCCCCTGGCCTCCAAACATGAACTTGGGCCATCCTGAGTGAGGTCTTGAGGAAGAACGGAGGGGGAATTTTGGAGAAGGTCCTGATCAGTGTGGTATAGGATCAGAACTATGAGGTGGCTGTGTATAGGTCAGATGTCCCCAGTGAGGCCTCAGAGGTACCTCCATTGCTCTCAGCACATTGAAGCCATCTGTGATTATTCTCAGCCTTTTATTTCACTTTTTATTAATATTTTGCATATTAAAATTTGTGTAGGCAGCCAGAAGAGAGCAGCATCTACACAATACTCGATGCAATGGAGAGGATTAGGAATCAGTGGCTCAGTTCATTGGGACCTAAACTGGGGGGCTGTGGGGGTGATAAAGTGTCCTTTCTTTACACTACATTTTAAAAGTACTTTCAATTTCTTTCTGTGTGCCCTTACTAAAATACATCTATGACCAATACTGCTTTGTGGTCTCAGCTGATAGCTTCAAAAAATTAAATATAACTAGGGTTACCTTGGACTTTTTGCTGAGCTGTTCACATATGCTTTTAAAGCTTCTTCCCTCTTCTCAACCAGTCCAAGCCTATAGGTTCCCATACCTAGGTACATTGATGTCAAAGTAAGAAATTATTTTCAAAATAAGGACTAGTGAATTGGGAATTTTTCAACTGCCCTTGCATGAAATTCCTCCAATATTTTTATTCACAGTAGGAATGCTCTGGGAATCAAACCTGCTAGTTACCTCTGTTTATTCCTCCCAAAGTGAAATTGTCCATGTCCTCTTGTCCCTCGTGAGATCCTGGAGGAAACTGTCTGTGCACACACATTGACACATCTTTGGTGCATTCCACACGAGCCAGTGAAATTACACCAGAAATATGAATTTAGCCCACACAGTATGTGTGTGCTGTGCTGTCCATACAGGGCACACATGCACCCCAGCAAACTCTCCCATTTAAATTTCAGAATAAGCCGTTCAAGACAGTCCTGTGTGATTCCCTTCATGACTGTGTTCTGTATACACTTCTTGAAAATGAATGGATATTCTGTGAATTTTACCACTTTGCAAAAATATTTGACGTGGATTAGTTGTTTTGAGTGTTGAGGTTTTTGAAATCTCAGTAATTGTTATGATTGCTATGTGTAATAGAAATTAGAAGGATGCCTGGGTTTTGGCTTTGAAGCTACCTACTTCTAAGAGGACATTTTTTAAGTTTTCTTTTTAAGGTGCTTCTTTGTGCCCCAGCTAAACTTTCCTCAGATTACGTGTTAGCTATCATAGCTGTTCTATAGTTAGATTTTAATCAGCCTCGGTACACAGTAATGTTAAACACTGAAAGAGCTACTAATTAATCGCCTTTCTGTATGTAACAGAGAGATAAATATCCATCCCGGAGGAATTGTAATTTCATGGTTTCTAATGATGGTTAGATTACATTATCTGGATCACTTAGGCTGTGGGTGTCATAAAAAATGCTCAAAGTCATTTATATTCAGTTTAATTTTTTTTTTAACTTTGTAAGCCTGAGAAAATAATGCGGTGTTAGCAAGTCTGTTTCATATTTTAGTTAAATATACCTTTGTTGCACTGACTGAATGGATTCAGATGACAGTGACAAACTCAGTTCTTTTCTATTTAACATGCACCTTCTCCAATCAAATTAACAATGTACAAATCTTCATCGGGCTGCTGCAGAAGAGTCTGTTGAGTTCCTCAGCATTGTTGAGCTTTGGGCAAAGGTTTTCTTTTTGGATGTCAGTTTGCAATGAGTGTTTTCTGCTAATTCTTGTATGTTCTGTGAAGTCTCAGTTGTCTGTCTTGAACCAAGAAATAACTGGACTTTTGGGTTGTATCAGGCTGTGGCTCAAATAAAATAATACAATCTGACAGCAGTGCGAACTTCTCATTTTCCCCTCCCCACTTCTAACTGATTGGAGTCCACAAGACTTGGGCTCCTGCACATCTGCATACACGTCACACTTAAAATTTGGTAGCTACGAGAATATTAAAAATAAGATCCTACTCCATGTGTATATTGTAATAGCTAATAGTTGCATATTTTGAAGTTCTCCTCATTCATATTTAAAAGGCTGAGTCTTCTTTGAACTACTGTGTTGGAGGGGGAAGTTAATTGTTTCTGAATGAGGATGATACTCCCTTTCCATATCAATTATGTGTACTGCTCCAAATTACCAATAATGCTCATTTCCAAACTCTATCATTTGCAGTTTCGTGTGTGCTTGCAGAGAGTTGCCCAGGCTCCAGGGCTGCAGCCCCTTCCTGCATCCACTGAGAACCAGAGGTGGGAGGGAACCCCAGAGGAGGAAGGTGAGATAAGGAAATGCGATATATTTCCAAGAGAGAGTTTGTCATCAGTTCGCTAAAATTGCTTCTGAAGTTTTGCTGGCAACGGTTTTACATGTCTGCCTTAGTGACGAAGGAACTGTACTGTCTTAATAGAGAACTCCAGAACTTCAGAAGGATTTCTCCTTGTTTGAATGCACAGCACAATGAATTTGTACCCACAGAGCATTCACCACTTACATTTCAAAACCTACAGCACACTAAACGTGAAACTTTTGTTCAAATTTCAAGGATTTTGATAGCCCAAGTGAATAGACACTGCCTATTGATTTTTCCCTTACAATGACTCTTGGATAACCTATTTTCTCATTTATTTTTAACGACAGCTCATGAGATTTTACAGCAATTCTGCCCAACCTCCTAATATCAAAATCCCTCCTTGACCCTGAAAATTGTAATTCTGCTATAGATCACAGCTGCTGAATATTACCTTTTACTAAGCTGGTTAAATAAAATATGTCCAAATCACTAGATCCCACAGGCCATGACTGCAATTCTAATTATACAGGGTCTGTATTTCTGCTCTACAGTACAGAAAAGCACAGCTCTCTCTGAGTCCACACCAAAGTGTGGGAATCCAGAATATTGGTTCTAGTTTTGAATTTGAAAAAAAAAAAAGTTACAGTGCTCTTCAGTGATTTTCCTGTAAAACTTTTACAAGGGAACCAAACCCTTTTGATGTGTTCCATACAATAAAATGCTGTGTAAGTCTGGAGGACAGAAGCATGCGGCGAGAATTTTCTTGTGTCTGGGGGATGGGTGTATTTGATGTCTACCCATTCAAAATCAAAAATCAGAAAAAGAAAAAAGAAAAAAATCTCACACTACTCTTAGGCTGCATATTCTACACAATAGCTCAGGAAACCAGTGTAAGGAAACTAATTTTGGCCATTAAACATATCCTTTCCCCTCCCACTGCTTATTCAAAGAGTGATCACATGCTCCCTGCTGCAAGTTACACCTTTATAGAATTTAGATATGGAAGAAAACTATTAGATTAGCTGTTCCACCTACTGATGTGGGATTGTTCCCTGGAGAACCTTATTCATTAGTGCATCACTGCCTAACCTTGTGGGCACACTGTGCCAAGAACATCTTGATTTTGTTCTGCTTTTTCCTCTTGTCCTTTCCTCCTGGTGCTGAGAGCGGCTGAGGGAGTGATTTGGTGAGAAGCATGGTGGACAAGGTGGAATTCTTCAGCTTCATAGTCAGGCTGGTGGTTTGGATGCTTGAGTGTGTACGTACTTATGTGGATGACTAGTTTGTATACTTTTTTAATTAGTATCCAAGTTCAGAGGACTAGACAGGGCATGATCTTTTTCAACATAATTCACTGAAAGATCTTCTGGAGCCCAGTGGTCTCCTACAGCAAATTACCTTCATGGCTTGCCCTGCAGTGTCTTAGATCTAGCTTCCATTTTACTTTCTGCTTTTGCTCTTTTGTAAGCAGATAGAGCCAAACTTTTAATTGCTTGTCTACCAGGGAAGGCAGCTTGGCATTTTACTGCTTTTCCAGGACAGAAAGTTTTGTTCTTTGGTCTGACCCCATAAAACTCTGAGTTTTCCAGGGCAGCGCCGGGTGCTTGGCATGCCTCACAGTTGTGCCTGGTATTGGGGTGCTTTCAGCTGAGTTTCCTACTGCAAACTTTTCTTCTCAGAGCTTCACTTGCACCTTTTGTCCTGGTGAGGACTTCAGCATCAACCCCTTTTCTGGGGTCAGACACTTGTGATTTAATAGCCTGATTCAGAGCCACTATTGAAGCACCTCCAGTCCATCACTTTAGGCGAGTTTATTTGTTCCTACCATGTGGGAGCTGCCAGCTCTCCCACATTCTGGGGCCCTGTGGGTTTTTAAAGCTGCACCACACTGCAGCTTTACCTTTCCTCCATGGGCCACCCACACCTGCACTACACCCTCCAGGCCTCTGCAAGGTCCCCAGAGCTGGAACCAAGGTCCAGGGTGATCTGACTGCAAGCAGACATCTGCTGACCCCAACAGGGACCATCATGAGATCTGCAGAGCCCAGACCAGGGACAGGGAGCCATCACCACACAGGATACCCTGCATCCTTTGGAGATGCACTTCCACTTTTTCTGGGGTCCTGGTCCTTGGAGCTTCCCTTCTGTTCGTGGAGACTGGAAAAAGTGGGGGAAAGGGAGGGGAGCAAAGGTGACCACTTCCATTCTGCAGTTTCAAAGTTTTGGTTTCCACCCTCAGACTATAATAAATGGCTACTGAGTTACCTGACATGAAGCTAAAGTCTGTAGGGTGAATTTTCAGAGCAACGCAGAGGAAATTATATGCACAATTACTGTTGTTAACAGAGCCTGGGCATGTAACTCCCTGCACAGCAGGCTGGAAATCTTCCCCATGCATGTTTAATGGAGTTTGAGTTGCTACAATCCTGGGGCTGTGTCCCTTTTCTAATGTATACTGTCCTGAATGAAACAAAGGAAGTACTGAATGTAAAAGAGATTTTATTTTGCTGTTAAAATAATATTTTCTTGATCTACAGCCTTCCTCTAATGCCAAAGCACTTCTTCCATCACTCAGTGATCTCTTAACCTTTCTGTTCTGTGAGGAAAAAAAAAAAAGAGGGGGAGGGGAAATCATTTATTTATTTATTTTTCTCCTTCTAAATGTGTTCCACGTAACGTGCTCATCAATGTTCGTACAAATGAGTATATACATGTTCATACAGGCAGTGCAGTTATTCTAGTGATGGATATTGCTGAAATAGGTGTAGGTCAAAACACAGAAAATATCTGTCTAAATCCTAATGTGCAAATGCTTCTGAGTAAATAATATATTTGTACATCCTCATAGGAAAATGAATTATATGTGTCATTTCACTAATCAGGCATGTATTTCAAATGTCTCCCTACTCAGGAGGTTATTAATGTGGTATTTAAACTTCAGTACATTGTACACTAGGAAAGGTCTGTAAATTTGGGATTGTCTTTTGCTTCCATGCTGCTTATTTAGTTTTATGTGCTGTAATTGTTTTTCTTTCCCATAAAGAAGGTTATCAACTTCTGCACCTACATCAATTCAAATGGTCTTTAGTTATCTTCCATAAAAATTAAATTACTCCTCTAAACTAACAGTTTTGCAGCTGCAATGAGCTTATATTTACAGCTGTGCCATCTCATTGACTGAAATATTCTTCTACCGCACTGGGCTTGACTCTCCAGCTTTCTGCAAGGTCTGAAGGCAGAAGGCAAGGCGCTGTAAACCAAGACTAGAAACACCGAAGTAAAAACACATACACATCAAATATATACATATAAAAGTACATCAAATACATATACAAGTTTCTAAAAGGTTTCAATCACTCTAAAATTGCACATGATTGCTCTTAGGCTCCCCAAAATGCTTTCATCTAAGAGCAGAAAAAAGTGTAGTTTTAAAAGCATTGTTGGGGCATGTCTAATAGATTTGTCCAACTCTCTCTGTCTTGATATATGCAGGATGGTTGATTGTATTCTCCTTAGCACAGATCTTGAAACTGTAAATAAATTTTTGAAGTAAATAGTCACAATAACTGCTTAATGAAATATCACACACCAGCAGTTCTGAATACAAAAAAAAAAAAAAAAGGTTCAAAACTACTGTGTGGTGTCTCTTTTTACTGGAAATGGGCTTTTACTTTTAAACTTCTGTTATATTTGGAGACAAGCAATCCCACTGAAAATGATACCACTACTAATAGGGAACATATTATCTTTCATGTGGGTACTTTTTTTCATGTTTAAGGTTTCTTTGTTATTATCTCAGTAGCAAGACTCTCCACAGTCTTAGGCAGAAAATCAAAATATGCCTTAAAGCAATAATCTTTTAATAAGTATCAAATGTCTTTCAATGAGATAAAAGAATTCTGTAGTGTGCTTATATACACATACCCACACACACACACTTACTTCACCATTAATCTTATTTTATACCTTTTCAACAATATTTTTGGGAATATCATGGTTTCTTTTTTATGCTTTCTTAACCAAGACTAAACCCTCCTCATAAATCTTAGATAACTGAACTTCTAAATGCTATTAAAAATTTTGTTAAAATTGTTTTCTCCAATTGTTGGGCCTCCTTGTCCTGAGGACTTTGGGAGATGTTTCCATCAGCTGAAACAGGGATGTTACTCCACACTTCTTTAAGACACCAACTTGAAGACGTTGGATATTCACAGAGTGGAGGGTATTCACACAGACAAATTCAGGGGAGGTGCTGGGAGCATATGTAACTCTGCTCATGAACACTGGAGCACTGGGCTTCATCATCTGGGCCCAGACTTGTCCCACACAACTTTAGTTCTTATCTGGGGAAATGAAATTAGAAGGTTAGTGAGCTGAGATCTCTTCTCTAGGCATCAAAGATACAAGAGCAAGATCCCTAAAATTAGACTGAGGAAATGCCCTGTCAGTCTCCTGCCAAGGAGGACAGGGATGAACGCAGCCGACAGGGTTACTCTGCAGGGGGAAGCAGAGTCTGGATGCCACTGATGAGGGGCACAGGTTCC